CCTTCAACTTGTAAAAAATACAGTGCCTGTGAAGCAGACAAATGAGATGTATTCCTCCTGCATTTTAAAAGACTTAGATTTTTTTTTAACAAATTAAATATCACACTTACATAGAGATTAAAGGAAGGCACTTTCAAGAGAAAAAATTATTGAAATATATTGTTTTAGCTATTTCTAAGTCTTTATTTTCAGCCTGACTTTTCTGAATTACTTTCCACTTACCTTTTATGCCTGTATTAGGCTTGTGCTTACTCAGCATTTCTGGAGAGTATTTTATTTCTAGGATTTTCCCCCCAGGCCACTGAATATTCAGTCTGCAAGTTTTTCCCTTAACATTTCTTTATTTTGTTGAGAACATCCGTAGTAAAGCATACATGAGTTGAACTTTGTACGTGTACTTTTTAGTGACGTTGATTGCATTTTTCAAGTTGTATAACCGTTCTTCTCCTCTTCGACTGAGTTGTTCCTGCTTCAGTAACAAACTCACTGCTCCTGAGATTCCAGGTTTTTAACTTGATTTTTTTCTGCAAGTTTGACACTAGTACTTCCTTGATTTTATTGGCAGGTGTCGACAGCAGTTTGAAACCACCAGCTGCTCTGTAGGAGAAAGATGAGTCTTTCTACTCCCATAGAATTACGGTCTAGGAAATCTTCAGGGGCAATTCTGTGGTGGTCTATAGTGTCACTGTGAATCGGAATTTACTAAATGGCTGTGAGAGAGAAAAGTCTTTTCCATGTTTTTAAAATGCTCCGTAGTTGGAGAGGCATAAAGGGATTGTATGTGCCCACGCTCTTATAATTTCTGTAGGTATTATTCAACTGTTCATAAGAATGACTAGCGAAATTGCATACTTGGTTAGTTCTATGGAGTTTCTCCAGAATATCTATTCCAGAGTGTTTTAGGCATGGCTGCCTTTCTCTCTTTTCCCAGAATCATGGGGTGGGGTGGGATGGGGTGGGGGTGGGGCACCTTTCTTTTCTAAAGATAAACTTCTTTAGCTAGTTTGAGGATCCTTTTCTCTTGGGGAAAATAGTTTTGTCAAACACTGTACCTAACTCATTGAGAAAATGCACTGCTAAAAAGGGATTTGGTGCTGTAGTGAGATTAGATTAGTAAATGTGGTCAAACTTGCAATGAACTCTCTGATAATAAAAGAATTGCTTTGCATAATTGAGTACTTTAGATCACTTTAGATGTGTGCTGATAGGTTCTTTTAAAAACCTCTTTGAACCCTAAAACCACTATTTTAATAACTGAAATTTTCTGAAGTGAAGAACTTTTTAAAGAGTAGCTATCTGAGGAATTATAGTCCTGAATTCAGTTTCCAAAATCATTTAGATATCACCTGAACATCAATGCATTCTCATAAGCCAACTGGAAAGGATTGAGTGTATCTCCTTTAAGTATCTAAATATGAAGATACAAGATAACTTGTAAGTTAGTCTTCCAAAAATGTAGCACAGTTTTAACCATTTTTCTTCTGTGATTTTAATTGTTTGGGAGCTTGAGAAGACAGATTTACATCTTGCCTTGCCAGCGTGTTAACATTAGGTTTGAGCCTCATTTTCTTTGTAAAATATTGTTAAGAATAAGAAAGTATGCCAAAGCCCATCTGTAGGCAACTGGACCCTTTACAGAAGGGTCGTGGAGAGGAGATGAGCCAGGCAGGGTGCAGTGTAGCAAGGATGAAACATAAAACTAGTTTAAGAACCTCTAGTTCTTAAAACCGCCCCGCCCCACCCCCACTACTATGACCCTAATTCTACCTTACAAATCGTGGTAGACCAGAGGATGTACACTGGTACAGATAAGAACTAGAAACACAGGGAATCCAGGACGGATGATCCCTTCAGGACAAGTGGTGAAAGTGGTGATACCAGGAGCGTGAAGGGAAGGTGGGGTGGAAAGGGGGAACCAATGACAAGGATCTACATATAACGCCCTCCCTGGGGGATGGACAACAGGAAAGTGGGTGAAGGCAGACGGCGGACAG